AGTATACATCTGATCTTGGCAAAAAATATATCATTTTAGAGGTATTTGTTCACAGATGTGCACAATATATATATTAATGAGATCGGTTCAGAATTTTAGAAGCTATAAGAGTTTAAAGTTGTTACTAATACATAGAAACAATAGTCACACGTACGTATTCTTGAAATTAAAAACAAACAAAGCAAGAAACAAAACAAAAAAAAGTAAACAACACGGCTTTTTGAAAAAAGAGAGGAGAGTGCAGAAACGTTTAACTTCTCTGTTGCTGTTTTCTTTTTGTATTTTGCATGATATTTGTTTTTGTTGTTGTTTTTAATAAGATTTTTGTAAACAAATAAGTATGTAAGCAGGCTTAGGCAATGCGAAAATAGGATTTTATTGTTTTATATTATTGTGTAAAGTGCTAAATTGTGAATGAGATAATGAACTTTTCAAAATAGTTAAATTAAAGGACATTCCCGAGGAAACAAAGAACTGGGAATATAAAAACATGTGTAAATAATGCTTGGGGACACCTAAAGATATGCCGAACAATGTAATGATATTGGTGTTTGACCTGGAAAATTATTGGTAGAACATCAGTACCAGAATACAGTAATTTTTTTTTTTTTCATTTTAAGTATTGATATCGTAAAGTAATGACAAATCAGTTACATTAACGAATTTTCAATTCCGTAACTTTTTTACGACCGTAGAATATTTTAAAGACAAATATCGGAAAAATATAAGAATGTCAAAAGTTATGTATTGAAATATTTTTAAAATATAAAATTATTAACGTGAACTTTTTATTTATTTTTTCGATTATGTTTAACGAAAAAAAAATCGGTGAAATGAAATTCAGAATACATACCACACAACGACAATTATTGTTAACTTAAGAATTTTTACTATTTAACGACAAAATGTTGTAGTTAAAAAAAATACTGAATTGCGATACATAATTATTAGTTTTGATTGATTTGGAAGATTTAAATGATGGATTAACGAATTGATTCAGTGTGAGTAAGAAATAAAATGCATATCGTTATGCGCTTCTATATGAAGGATAATAAAAGGCCCATTAGAAGGCCTCATAGAATATCTACTATTTAATTTTATTAGAAGACATTAAAATTGAATAAATGTGTGTCTGCTGAAGTCTTCGTGCTGAAGTCGAGTGTTATAAGGGAGAATTTATACATCATATATCTGATGGATGGACTACTAATGACATCCAAATAAAATTTATTTATAATTAGATAAGACATTATTTATTTTAAAATATTTTTATTGTTTTGACAAATTCTTTAGAACATTTCAATTCAATTACCACTCAACGACAATTATTGTTAACTTAAGAATTTTTACTATTTAACGACAAAATGTTGTAGTTAAAAAAAATACTGAATTGCGATACATAATTATTAGTTTTGATTGATTTGGAAGATTTAAATGATGGATTAACGAATTGATTCAGTGTGAGTAAGAAATAAAATGCATATCGTTATGCGCTTCTATATGAAGGCTAATAAAAGGCCCATTAGAAGGCCTCATAGAATATCTACTATTTAATTTTATTAGAAGACATTAAAATTGAATAAATGTGTGTCTGCTGAAGTCTTCGTGCTGAAGTCGAGTGTTATAAGGGAGAATTTATACAGCATATATCTGATGGATGGACTACTAATGACATCCAAATAAAATTTATTTATAATTAGATAAGACATTATTTATTTTAAAATATTTTTATTGTTTTGACAAATTCTTTAGAACATTTCAATTCTGTATTTTGAACAGCTAACATTTTTTTACTGGTGTGTACACTGTACAGTAGAGTACTCCAGCAAAGTGAATATGTAAATATGTAGGGGATAATAAGTCGATAGAAGAAATGTTCGTTACTTTTTATTATTTTTAAAATAGTTGAAATACTTTTGTAAAACAAGTTGTATAACTAATTTTGACAATTGAGGTTTTAAACTTCTGATGGGACTTTTACTAAAACCCATCACATTTTCTAAAAGAAAACATTATTCAAAGCAAATTATACACTTTGATAATATCAATAAAGTTAATTTTTTACCACAGATTTGAACTACAAAAATAAGGTTTTATTTTAGCTTATTTATGCAATTTTTACAGCATTGGTTCTGGTTCTGGTCGAATATCGACCGCTGGGCGAACTCTAGTATAGATAAATATGTATGTACAGAGTGACCCAAGGAACATCCCTTTAAGGAATCTCATGTATGAATACCTTCAGTCTTCAATTCCGTAACAATGATTAAAATTCTAACCTTTTTAATCTCCAATTATTTTAAAATGGCTCTCAAACATAACTTAATTTTGAAATTACCTAATCTTTATTTTATAGGGATCGATTCATATTTTCCCCTAGACCCCACATAAAGCCTTTTTCGTCAATATATTGCCTAAATATATTGGAATCAAGGTAATATTCAATAATAACGCTTTATTGTGAAAAAAAATTAAAGAACATATTATATCTTATGTAAAATTTATTCGGTATTGCAAATGTGCAATATCAAGTTTTCGCATAGCCCTCAAACAAGTGGACCTTCCGAAAAACAGTTTTAACGTTCATAACTGTTTTAAAAATACGAGTATAGTGATGATATAAGTTTCATATGAGCTAAAATCTCTCTACCAATGTTTATAAGGATCGGTTCATTATTGACCCTATATTCTACATAAGGTCCCCTTCAGAAAATGACTTTAACGCGCATTACTGGCTTAAAAATATTAAGAAATTGAACAAAAAAACTAATTTTATATGAACCAAAATCGTTATACAAACGTTTATGAGGATCGGTTCATTATTGACTATATCTCCCATATAAGGTCCACATAAGAAAATTACTTTAGCGCTAATTACTGGCTTACAAATGCGAGTAAAATTAGGTGATTCGACTTTTATAGTAACGTAAATCGTAATATCAAATTTCTAGTGGATGAGTCTGTATCTGACTTTTCGCCTCATATAAGGTTCAATTTAAAAAATTACTTTAACGCTAATCACTGGCTTTAAAGAACGAGTACAGCTAAGAATTTCGACATAAACAAGATTTATAATCGTAACAAATAAGTGTTATTTATCCGCCAGACGGCATGTTACCTTGATGAAAGACCCCATCCATGTCATTCCGGGGGAAAACAGTGCCTCTAGTCTGACGGGACTGTAAACTGGTGTTGTCAATTCACTCCTGGGACTTTCCTTAGAATGATTTGACATAAAGTCCAACCAGAGAATCACAATATCTGGTACTACGTGTTGCCCTCAGGATTTGCGTTGGCTGGTCAGTTAGTTGAGGTTCCTTCGGGATCCACGCAGTGACGGTGGTTTAAAGCCAATTTCGCGGGAAGAGTAAGTGGCGGTTAAAAGAGTGATGCACGGTGAAATCTATATTTCGTGATAAGTTCGGTGCTGTTGCCGAATGACAACAGATACCCCACAGAGCAGTGATTGTGGGACTAAGCAAATTAGTTAAGGTGTTAAGTGTATATGATACAGGATGAATGTAGGTGTATACGGATCTCACCCGCCCGTATACCTAGAGAGAGTCTTATGAGTGTGTCGGATGAATGAGAAGTGTGCAGGGTTGTATGGTGATGGATGAAAGGTATCTTATACAAGTGATACCATTGAATTTTCCATCCTGGTCCAGGTATGTTCAGAGTAAACTCTGTTCATACCAGATTTACAGGGTAAGTTACCGAAACTTTCCGCCACTAAGCGTTGGAAATGAGTTAAGGTGTTAAGTGTATATGATACAGGATGAATGTAGGTATATACGGATCTCACCCGCCCGTATACCTAGAGAGAGTTTTATGAGTGTGTCGGATGAATGAGAAGTGTGCGAGGTTGAATGGTGATGAATAAAAGGTATCTTATACAAGTGATACCATTGAATTTTCCTTCCTGGTCCAGGTATGTTCAGAGTAAACTCTGTTCATACCAGATTTACAGGGTAAGTTACCCAAACTTTCCGCCAATTATGGACCGATCCACATAAAATTTGGTAGGGAGGTTTTGGATTGAAAGTGACTGAAGGGGACCTTATATGGGGGAAGGGTCATTTATGGACCCATCCTCCCTTCCTCATGGTAGGGAGATTTTGTCTCATATGAAACTTATTTATATTGAATTTCATCGCCGTTAAGGCTGTTTTTCGGTGGTCCACTTGTATTGGGGCTATCCGAAAACGTAGACCGATATGGCCCATTTTCAATACCAAACAAATCTTGCCTATAGAGAATATTTTTGAAAAATTTCAACCCTCTAGCTTATTCCGTTCTGACTCTATCGGGTTTTCAACAGACAGACGGACGGACATGGCCAGAACGTCTTAGAATTTAATAAGGACCCGGAATATATATACTTTTGTGGGTTCGAGGTATTACAAATGGAATGACAAAATCAATATATAACCCCCATCTTTTTTGATGGTGGGTATAAAAAGAGACACTCAGAATGCTAATCCAAAGGAGACAATACACGGAAATGAACCTTTTCGCTTATGATATTTTTAAGTGTGTTTAGTTTCGTTTATAAAGAGTGCATTCGGGGCGAAAAGCGAATTAGAACCGACCAAGTCGAAATGATGGGAAAACATTCAAAACACTTTTGAGGATTGCAAACAAAATTTCTGTATGACTTACACTATTTTTGCAATAAGCCCTTCAACTAGATACACAAAAGATTAAAATGTAAAGAAATGTAACAAAAACTATTACCTTATATATTTATATACATAAGTATGTAGTTAAATATTGTATTGATAAAATTGATAATAAAAACTAAAATAACAACAAAATACTTCCGGTGTGGTGTCAGTTTTATATATACATTTATAATTTTATTATAAAAATAGCTTATAGAATAATAAATAAATTACATGTAATCTAAGATATACTGTCTTAAAAATCCTCCTAAATTGCTAAGTAAATGTTAAAATTTAATATTTAAATAAATTAAATTACAAAAAAATAGGAACCATTGTTTAAATAAATTAAAGTAAGGCACTTAAGTAAATTTAAATAAATTACTTTTGAGTTGACAAAATATTAACGTTTAGCTTTGTTAATGTTAAAACTAATTTAATTGTTATTATTAAATTCAAATGTTAATGAATATTGCGTAGAATTTTCCTTTTATTTATACAGTCTCTTCCTTAATAGCGGCAATAAAGTGTGAAATTTGCCTTCGGGTTGTTAATTTCCAAGATACACAAGCTACAGATGAGATAAAGAAACCAATGCCTAAAAGTAAAATTTAAAATTAAATTTTGCAAATTCAAATAGTGCAAATAATAGAAAATAAAAGGATCTGGCAAATCTGTACTTTGTATTAAAAACACCCTACACCCAACACTATTAAATAGGAAGCGAATTGGGCGTTTGCGACAATACTAGTCCCACTCTCATCTTAAAGTATTTAATTAGCTCACTATAACTTAAGGCGAACCTTGTGATATATAACTTAAGGCGAACCTTGTGGTTTGCCTTAAGTTATGTAGTAAAAATCGGACCATATTTGACGCCCATATAAGGTCCCCACTAGTAGTCATATAATTGGTTATTTGGGAGTATGATTTCTAACACTATATATGAAGGCGATAAGGCTCTTAAACAGGATTAAGTTTTATGTGCAATTGAAGCAGTTTTAGAACTGCAAAAGACTTGATACTAGATCGGTTTAATACATTGGCACTAGATAAGTCAGTAACAATGACTTTTAATATAATCAGAGCAGATATATGGTCGGCCATGAAGTATTTTTTTTTTTTATTTATAGCCATATTATATAACTAATTTATAAACACTTTACTCACCTATTAACAAAATAGCTTCGGACATCTCATCTTGTATAGTTTTCGAAACTAGACACAATAGGAATAAACCACTTAGCAAACAAAAGGAGCCAATAACCACTGCAATCGTTATAAATATCAATATGGGATCCTTAAGGGCATCATTAAAGAACGTAGAACACAAAGGTTTGCTAGGTAAACCACTAGAAACACAGATACAATTCAATATTGATTAAACGTTATTTGAAAATTCAATTTTTCTTTTTTCTTAATTATTTTTCAAACTATTGCTCACCACGACTGTTCATAGGTGGGTAATGTTACTTCTTCACGTCTTATTTCCATGATGTACTTAACACAACTAAAATTCTGCTCCCCAATTTACAATTTCTTTGGCAGCTTCTGGTTTTATCTCTCCCCCTTCCCTATATTTGCATCGTCGGTGCTTACTTACTAAACATTAGAAGTTTACAAGATTTAATTTTATTTTTTGATTTTGTTTAAATCATGACACTGTTTTCTAAAAATATATTTTTCCATACGACTTACAACAACACCAATAAACCATCTGAAGTAAAACACACATATTGCAGACAGTTTTTATTGTTGCAACCCCAATGGTCTATATTTAGAGACGCGTGCCATACATTGAACAGTCATTGCACAAGAATAGAATCATAAGATCTTATGAGAACTTCAGGAGAAACAACAAATATGTAAATAAGAAACCGCAAAATCTTATGAGAATTTTATGAATAGGAATGAGAGTGAGAGTTTCGGCGAACATTAGAATGAAAGCGATGACGATTTTATGCAGCTGTTGGGAGAGGTTCTGAGCTACAGCGAGGGAGCATAATGCCTTCATGCAAATGTATGTAAACGAAACTTGAACTGAAGAAGAACTGAACTAGAAACTGAACTAGAACTGAACAAGAACTGAACTAGAACTGAACTAGAAATGAACTAGAACTGAACTAGAACTGAACTGAACTGAACTGAACTAGAACTGAACTAGAACTGAACTAGAACTGAACTAGAACTGAACTAGAACTGAACTAGAACTGAACTAGAACTGAACTAGAACTGAACTAGAACTGAACTAGAACTGAACTAGAACTGAACTAGAACTGAACTAGAACTGAACTAGAACTGAACTAGAACTGAACTAGAACTGAACTAGAACTGAACTAGAACTGAACTAGAACTGAACTAGAACTAGAACTGAACTAGAACTGAACTAGAACTGAACTAGAACTGAACTAGAACTGAACTAGAACTGAACTAGAACTGAACTAGAACTGAACTAGAACTGAACTAGAACTGAACTAGAACTGAACTAGAACTGAACTAGAACTGAACTAGAACTGAACTAAAACTGAAATAGAACTGAACTAGAACTGAACTAGAACTGAACTAAACTGAACTAGAACTGAACTAGAACTGAACTAGAACTGAACTAGAACTGAACTAGAACTGAACTAGAACTGAACTAGAACTGAACTAGAACTGAACTAGAACTGAACTGAACTAGAACTGAACTAGAACTGAACTAGAACTGAACTAGAACTGAACTAGAACTGAACTAGAACTGAACTAGAACTGAACTAGAACTGAACTAGAACTGAACTAGAACTGAACTAGAACTGAACTAGAACTGAACTAGAACTGAACTAGAACTGAACTAGAACTGAACTAGAACTGAACTACAACTGAACTACAACTGAACTAGAACTGAACTAGAACTGAACTAGAACTGAACTAGAACTGAACTAGAACTGAACTAGAACTGAACTAGAACTGAACTAGAACTGAACTAGAACTGAACTAGAACTGAACTAGAACTGAACTAGAACTGAACTAGAACTGAACTAGAACTGAACTAGAACTGAACTAGAACTGAACTAGAACTGAACTAGAACTGAACTAGAACTGAACTAGAACTGAACTAGAACTGAACTAGAACTGAACTAGAACTGAACTAGAACTGAACTAGAACTGAACTAGAACTGAACTAGAACTGAACTAGAACTGAACTAGAACTGAACTAGAACTGAACTAGAACTGAACTAGAACTGAACAAACTGAATAGAACTGAAACTAGAACTGAACTAGAACTGAACTAGAACTGAACTAGAACTGAACTAGAACTGAACTAGAACTGAACTAGAACTGAACTAGAACTGAACTAGAACTGAACTAGAACTGAACTAGAACTGAACTAGAACTGAACTAGAACTGAACTAGAACTGAACTAGAACTGAACTAGAACTGAACTAGAACTGAACTAGAACTGAACTAGAACTGAACTAGAACTGAACTAGAACTGAACTAGAACTGAACTAGAACTGAACTAGAACTGAACTAGAACTGAACTAGAACTGAACTAGAACTGAACTAGAACTGAACTAGAACTGAACTAGAACTGAACTAGAACTGAACTAGAACTGAACTAGAACTGAACTAGAACTGAACTAGAACTGAACTAGAACTGAACTAGAACTGAACTAGAACTGAACTAGAACTGAACTAGAACTGAACTAGAACTGAACTAGAACTGAACTAGAACTGAACTAGAACTGAACTAGAACTGAACTAGAACTGAACTAGAACTGAACTAGAACTGAACTAGAACTGAACTAGAACTGAACTAGAACTGAACTAGAACTGAACTAGAACTGAACTAGAACTGAACTAGAACTGAACTAGAACTGAACTAGAACTGAACTAGAACTGAACTAGAACTGAACTAGAACTGAACTAGAACTGAACTAGAACTGAACTAGAACTGAACTAGAACTGAACTAGAACTGAACTAGAACTGAACTAGAACTGAACTAGAAAAACTAGAACTGAACTAGAACTGAACTAGAACTAAACTAGAACTGAACTAGAACTGAACTAGAACTGAACTAGAACTGAACTAGAACTGAACTAGAACTGAACTAGAACTGAACTAGAACTGAACTAGAACTGAACTAGAACTGAACTAGAACTGAACTAGAACTGAACTAGAACTGAACTAGAACTGAACTAGAACTGAACTAGAACTGAACTAGAACTGAACTAGAACTGAACTAGAACTGAACTAGAACTGAACTAGAACTGAACTAGAACTGAACTAGAACTGAACTAGAACTGAACTAGAACTGAACTAGAACTGAACTAGAACTGAACTAGAACTGAACTAGAACTGAACTAGAACTGAACTAGAACTGAACTAGAACTGAACTAGACTGAACTAGAACTGAACAGAACCTGAACTAGAACTGAACTAGACTGAACTAGAACATGAACTAGAACTGAACTAGAACTGAACTAGAACTGAACTAGAACTGAACTAGAACTGAACTAGAACTGACTAGAACTAGAAATGAACTAGAACTGAACTAGAACTGAAACTAGAACTGAACTAGAACTGAACTAGAACTGAACTAGAACTGAACTAGAACTGAACTAGAACTGAACTAGAACTGAACTAGAACTGAACTAGAACTGAACTAGAACTGAACTAGAACTGAACTAGACTGAACTAGAACTGAACTAGAACTGAACTAGAACTGAACTAGAACTGAACTAGAACTGAACTAGAACTGAACTAGAACTGAACTAGAACTGAACTAGAAACTGAACTAGAACTGAACTGAACTGAACTAGAACTGAACTAGAACTGAACTAGAACTGAACTAGAACTGAACTAGAACTGAACTAGACTGAACTAGAACTGAACTAGAACTGAACTAGAACTGAACTAGAACTGAACTAGAACTGAACTAGAACTGAACTGTGTTATATACGGAATGACAAAATCAATATACCCACCATAATGTGTATACATTTTAGAGAATAGTTTTCCAAAATTAAAAATTTCGATTTCTATTGGTTTTTAATACGAAGTAGAGAGTGAGAAAATTTTCTCTTCTTTAAATAATCTGTTCATTGAACGCACTTACTCAAACATTCATGTATTGGAAGAGGAAGTACGATCACATAATTTGTATGATTCCGTTATTTTAAAACGGAACTACATTTATAACAACAACAAAACTATTATGTTTATTTTGAGTTCGATGATTTTCCTTAGCCACCCTCTGTCTATTGTTTGATGGACTGCAACAGATGACATGAAACAGATTTTTATTTTAATAAAATGTTTCTCTTGAGGTAAAGAAAAACCTGATAAGAAATTATGAGGGAAATGGAAAATACTAATTGGATGATTTTATATTGAGTGCAATAACCTCAAAAGTTAAAAATGTTGAAATTTGTTTATAATTTAAAGTAGTTTTTATAGAATAGTCTTGTGATAAACAGATTTTTTCTTAAAGATTTTTAGGATAAAACCTTTAGTCAATGTTAAAAATATATTAGTTCTTATTTATATTATATTGTGAGAATATCGAATGGGAACCTCGGAAGTTGTCTTGTAGAAAAGAGTAACAGAAATGATCACAAGCAATTACATATAACTCATCGAAGTTCAGTTAGACATTTATTATCGAATCCTAGAAGCATAAGAGAGGAACTTAAATAAAAATTGGAATAAAATTTAGGACCACAAAAATCTTCAGGGATAGTCCTTAATAAAGGAGAACCAGAAGCATATATTGTAATATCAAAATGTGTTGAGATCGTTTTTGATTTAGAATTAAAAACCTCTCGCCATTTTTTCACTTGTAAATCATTCTGTGTCCCAGATTGATATACATTCAGCTAATCTTGCGTTTTCGCTTGTATTCTAATTACATTTCAATCCTTAATACACATTTGCATGTACAGATGTGTCAAAGTCAAACGAATTATTGGATTGAATAAAATTTTAGTTGAGTTTGAAAAAGTCCCTTTAGGTTATACACGTGAGTATGTGTTACAAAATTAAATTTATTTGAATTAACACTAACTGATTTATTTCTTGCATTTATTTTAAAGTTAAAAACACAAAAACAACAGCCGGAAAATACACTCACACGATGAATACATCCTTAGGACAAAAACTTTTTTCTAAGGAAAAAAGCAATAAAAGTATAAATACTTACATTTTTATATAGAAGTTTTGCAGTAAAAATGTTTGTATGTATGTTTGTAAGTGTAACAATAAAACGTTTAGAAGACTTCTTACGAAGATTTGATTTAAACGGAATCGTAGCAGAAAGTTCAAAATATACTCACACATACTGCACACTAATATTGAAACGCATACTTTTCCTTCTGCTTCCTGTTTTTTCTTTTTCGGGTAAGAGTAAAAAACTTACTTTGGCTGTTGTAGACGACGACGACTCCTGTGGATGTTTAACATCCTGCCCTTTTGTAAGTTTATAATAAAAACACAAAAGTATAAAGAACTCTGGGTATTAA